TGTTTCATTAATTTGTTTTGGTGACTACAGTGTTCCTTTGAGTAAATGCTAATATACATATAAATGTATTTTACATGGGTCAGTACCTGAATATATTTACATTAGAAATTTGCCAAATTCACAAAGTTCCCCAATGGTGACACCTTCTCTGGTGGTCCGGTGGCTGCGAGGGGCAGGGAAAGGTGTGATTACTTACCAGAACCTGTCCCTCGTGGTGCCGCCATCTTTTTCGCACTGTTTCTCTTCAACTCCTGGTGATTCAGCTGCAGGAGCCGACAACACTGCTGTACTCTCGCATATGCACGAAAAAGTACAGCATTGAGATCTATGGGGATCCCCTTTAGACACAGCCAATTCACTGGTGATAGCTGTCAGGATTGGCTCATACTCTGGGAAATGCAGAGACAAAGTCCCTACTTTATTGCTTTTTATTCCAACATAGTCAAAATGAATATTTCATAAATATTCAATATTTTTGAAATACATATTTTTCAGAAGGGGGGTAGGGGGGGAGTGACAGTGCTGCTTTAAGATACCGTAATTGTTTCTCTAGTGTTAAATTTATTTTATTTACAGATTTAGTGATTTACTACTAGTTTATACTATTTTAAAATTCCTTGCTCTTTTTTATGATTACTGTAAACACATTTTCGTCAAGTTCATTTCTCCCTATAATTGTCCCCATGATGCCTAAGCAACTCTACAATTAAAAAAAATACCTACCTAGCTGTGACATTCAAAAACCACTAGACGTCTACATTTTATATACATCACCAAGTTCCAACTGTGTTTTAATTTAAAAATTTAGAACATTTGATTTTATTTCAAGCATGTTCTAAAGTTAATTTGGATGTACATAAATCAATTAGCCCTAAATGTGCATAGTTGTTGCAGAGCATATCATAACTGCTATAAAATGAGTCAGAAATTGATTAAATTAGATTCAAAGTATTTGAATTTAGTAATGTATCAAACTCCAAATTCAATCTATATGGAATTACCTGGCAGTGATTTTGTCCATTTAGAGACATTTAGTTAGATTTATATACAGGTATATATATATATATAGCTATTGTATGTGATGTATAGATGTACAGACATACACACACACACCCACACACACACACACACACTAAGAGTACAGCTGACATCAAACTAAAGGGCAAAGTTCAGTATCCTTGTGACTGTAAAACATTTATCTCAGTGCTATGGACATTGCCTCCTTTGGTCCTGTCAGCCAAAGTATTGGAATTTAGTCATTTATCAAACATCAAATTCCATTTCTTTGCATCTATTTGGCACTGATTTTGTCCAGTCAGAAACAGTTGGTTTTTATATATACCAATATAGAGGGTGGCAGATTGTGACACCTATTAAATACATTTTGAAAGATTTCCGGGCCTTTCCACCACAGTGAGAAGACTAGTCAAAAGTTATGGGATCAGGGGGTGTAGCTTGACTGGCAAAGCAGACGAACTCTCCGGCGTCTCAAAAGGCCTCACTTTGGAGGTTTTTTACACCAGAGCAGATGACGCATCCAAGATGGCCTCTGGTGCGCTCCTGGAGGAAAGCCCACCAGGGAGCCCTGGAGTGTCGGAGGCCTTGCCCGAGGACACAGACTTGCGCACCCTCCTACTCCAACTCCCATCAAGAGCAGACATGGTAGCATTGCTTAGTAAATTGGAGGCAAGTGTGGGAGAGAAGCTAAATGCAATGAAAGCTAAAGTTCAGCAATTGGGGCAGAGAGTACAGGCCCTGGAGGAGGAAGGGGAGGCTGTTTGCACACAGTGGTCTGACATGAATACCACTATTATGAAACAGAATGAGGCTCTTCATTACCTCTATAGAAAGCTAGATGATGTGGACAATAGAGGTCAAAGGAACAACTTGTGGATCTGGGGATCTCTGAAGCACCCAATGAAGAACAGGAGGATGTGGTGGGAACACTGGGGACTTTGTTCAACCAAACAAAAATGGGTCGCAAGAGTATACTGAGAATGGGCAATAGCTGAAGTAACCTGCCCTTCGGTGGGTCCCCGCTCAGATCTCAAGCTGGTTTTTGCTCATCTTGTGCCATTACAGAGAGAACATATCTGAAACATATCAGACTGGTCCCATCCATAAGGGCAGTCCACATCCGAAATGCCAGCAAGTTCTCCCTGCACGAGAGATACAGCAACCCCAGACGATCGTTTCAGCCTTGTTAGGCATCATCAGTGAGGCATAGCTGATATCTCCCTAGGCACCGTGAGCAAGGGGTCCACGTCTGGATTATCCCTTTAAACTTGTGGAGAACAAAAATGGGTGGCAAGAGTATAATGAGAACGGGCAATGGCTGAAGTAGCCTGCTCTTCGGTGGGTCCCCACTCAGATCTCAAGCTGGTTTTTGCTCATCTTGTGCCATTACAGAGAGAGCATATCTGAAACATATCAGACTGGTCCCACCCATACGGGCAGTCCACATCCGAAATGCCAGCAAGTTCTCCCTGCATGAGAGATACAGCAACCCCAGACGATCGTTTCAGCCTTGTTAGGCATCATCAGTGAGGCATAGCTGATATCTCCCTAGGCACCGTGAGCAAGGGGTCCACGTCTGGATTATCCCTTTAAACTTGTGGAGAACAAAAATGGGTCGCAAGAGTATACTGAGAACGGGCAATAACTGAAGTAGCCTGCCCTTCGTTGGGTCCCCGCTCAGATCTCAAGCTGGTTTTTGCTCATCTTGTGCCATTACAGAGAGAACATATCTGAAACATACCAGACTGGTCCCACCCATACGGGCAGTCCAGATCCGAAATGCCAGCAAATTCTCCCTGCACGAGGGATACAGCAACCCCAGACAATCGTTTCAGCCTTGTTAGGCATCATCAGTGAGGCATAGCTGATATCTCCCTAGGCACCGTGAGCAAGGGGTCCACGTCTGGATTATCCCTTTAAACTTGTGGAGAACAAAAATGGGTCGCAAGAGTATACTGAGAACGGGCAATAGCTGAAGTAGCCTGCCCTTCGTTGGGTCCCCGCTCAGATCTCAAGCTGGTTTTTGCTCATCTTGTGCCATTACAGAGAGAACATATCTGAAACATATCAGACTGGTCCCACCCATACGGGCAGTAAAGATCCAAAATGCCAGCAAGTTCTCCCTGCACAAGAGATACAGAGTTCAACCAAATACTGAAGTGCCCACTAGACTCCAGGATAAAATTTGACCAAGCTCTCAGACCAAAGTCACTTGCCCAGGATAAACCCTGTGATGTATATGTTGCCTACATAATTATGCTATCAAAGAGGATATACCCTGTCAAAATAGACTGTTCAGCAATATTTTATTTCATGGCCAACAGGTCCTCATCTTTCCTGACATATCCCAAGCAATTCTAAAAGCACAGAGGGCCCTTAAAACCTATTACGAAGGTAGTTATGGACCGTGGGCTCAAATTCAGATGGAATTTTATTCATGTAATTCCTTAGTCTCTGGTTGGCCAGTTGTCAATAATGCCTCATCAAGTTTCAACCTTACAGTTGTTAGAAGCTGGTACTACACCTCTACAATTATCTGTTCAGTTACATTATACATGCAGTACGGGTGACAGAGTGGCTGATGTTGCTTCCCTCAGAAGGAATTGGTGGTCACAGATGCAGGCAGAATTCAAGTGGTGGCATCAACTGTTGTAGTTGTTGCAAAAAAGTGTAGTACTGCAGTATCTGCTATCAGCATTTTTATTGGATTAATAGAATTTTGTAGTGACATGTTTTTGGCAAACTGTACACCATTACGTCCCCAGTGGACATTAAGGCATTTCAGAAAGACCTTAATCTACCTGAGGACTCAATAGAGGACTGGACTGAGCTATACTAATCTGAACTTCCTCCACTGCCGCAACGTATCCGATGGCAGAGATCACCAAAGAAAAAGATGTTATATACACTAAGGGACTTTCGTAGGTCTAAAGCGGACATCAATTTTATCTGGGAGACCCATTTCAAATAGGGCGCAGCACCAGTATTGCAAGCTAGACATGTCTCACATTCCTTTTACAGTAATTTTTCAGGGAGTGAGTCCAGGGCAGTGGCAATCTTGGTATCATTCCCTGTAGTTTTTTTCTGGTGGATAGTGTCTCTGACCTGCAGGGCCAATATTTATTTTTAAAAGGTCACGTGAATAATGTCTTATTTACGTTTGTGAATGTGTATGCTGGCAACACCCACCAGGTACACTTTTTCAGCCGCATGTTTACCAAACTCGAGTCATTTGCATTGGTGATGGGGGGAGACTGGAACATGGGAATTGGCCAAACTCTGGATACTACTTCCAGGGATAGGGATCAACTCATACTCCAATGCTAACTACTTAATAAACTCCTCCATTCCCACCAACTCATTGACTGTTGGTGTATGCTCCACCCGACAGGCAGAGACTTCTCCTACTTTTCCCATGTAGTTGACATGTACCTACATATAGATATGTTCCTTATTGGCTACAGACACCTGCATCTACTTGTGGAAGCCTCTATAGGCAATATAACATGGCTAGACTATGCCCTGTCTCCATATCCATTGCTCTGCAGAGAGCCTCGCAGCCAAACCCACACTGGCACTTAAATTAAACACTCTTAGATGACAAGCAAGTGGTGGAGGACCTGAAGTGTTTGGTGGAACACTACTTTCAGGTAAATAACACATGAGAGCCCTTGACTGCATGGGTGTGGGAGGCACATGAAATGGTGACTAGGGGGATATTTATAAAGTGGGGCGCACGGATTAAAAGGGAGAGAGCAGTGAGAAGACAGGTCCTTCTATGTAAGAAACACCGAGAGGAGGTAAATCATAAAACTGCTGGAACTTCGGATGCACTCCAATGTCTCACATCTCTCCGTATGGTGCGTTAAAGCCTCCTAAACATTCAAGCCCAATGCTCTATACTCTTAACCTGTAATAGTTTTTATGTACATGGGAAAAGGTGTGGCAAATTCTTAGCTAGGGCAGTGAAAGCCAGGCACCAGCAATCCTATATAGCCAAAGTAGTGGATGGGGAGGGGACGCTACGTCACACTACAGAGGAAATTGCTAAAGCTTTCAGTACATTCTATGATGACCTGTATAACTTCCCTAAGCCTACTGGCAACAGGGCTGACCTTCCATCATACGTCAAAACCTATATCAAACATACCATAACCTCAGAATTGCGAGATACCCTAGAATCACCCTTCACAGTCGAAGAGGTAGAATCGGCGATAAAGTCATTACCAGGGTGAAAAACACAAGTCATGATGGGTTAACCAACAAACAGAGGTATGGCACTACACGTGTGCCTGTGGGACACCCTACAGATGTAGGGAACTGATCCACAGGGTCTACACAAAGCACAGAGATGGCAAAGTGGTGGGAATAGAACCCTATTAGTACCCTTCTACCATTGAGTTTAGGAGGATGATTACGAGCAACTAGACATCTCTGCAGAGTATGTACAACCTCTTGTGCTGGATTGAAGGCAAAATGAGGGCTACAACATCTTAGCTAAAGCATTTATATGTCGGTAGTACAGAGATGTCTGACTGTCTTATATGTCATTGTAACCACATTTCGTATATATTCGACAATTTTATCTAAAATAATTAATTGTTACCATTTGACAAATTTAGTTTAAAACATGATTTAGAAGATTCAGATGCCACTAAATATGAGATTGTAGTTACAAGATTAAGTGACATATTTGAAGTCCCAATACTTGACCAAAATATACTCATTTAGGGAAGCCCCAAACAGAAATGTTTTTTTATTGATAACCCTATATTAATGCAAGCCCCCAAACCAAATTGGATTACATAGTCACATGGGAAAGGGATCTCCAGAGAGAAATGTCTCTGGATGACTGGTTGGCTGTTTCTTTAAATTTGAAAGCTATTACCCAGTGTTTGGATCATTTGGAGAACCACTATAAAAAATGTTATATCGGGGGGTATCTGACTCCATCCAGGCTCCAGAAAATATTCAAATCTCTACTGGCCTGGCTGTGGGCAAATATGCACATATTCCAATATGTGGTGACATTTTCCATGTTAATTATTTTGGAAGAATATCAGGAATATCACATTTTCTGTTGTGACTTTGACTCCAGAACTTATGTTTATTCAAGTAATTCCCTGAAAACTTTACCAAAGTGGATAAGATAATGGTAGACCACGTCTTGATAGTGACCACTATGATAATACCACGTTATTGGAGATCTAACGTAGTTCCTGCTATTAAAGAGGTATTAGGAGAATAAGTGCTATAATATGCACCTCAGATTGCCATCAAACACAACAGAATCATTAACTTACCACTGGAACATATGGGAGGATAATGTCAAATGAAAATACTCTTTATGATTGTAGATTATGTGCCTCTCCTTTTACTCTTGTTCTGTTTGTATACACATATGTGTACACTATTTATGGCTGGTGCATGTGGAGTGCTTTTACACTTTATTGACACTGTGTAGTGTTTTTCATAAAGCATATGTTATCAATTTTATAATGAATGGATATTTCCCACCCCCTGTTTCTTTTTGTTTGTTTAATTTATAGGTATTCTTATTATTTATTCCATATATTTCATTGTTTTACAATGATTATTATTGTTAAAAATGAAAACCTTTCAATAAAAAACATTTGACAAGAAAATTGAAAAGTGCATGTTGAGAAAGCACCATGGAAGGTGCAAAACGCGTCCAAGGCTTTTTCGGCTTAGTCTTCTGGGTTGTCTCTCCCCTGTCTGGCAGTTGCAGGTAGCATGGCACATTTTTTTCTATTATATATTGTTTCATTGCACTTTTCAATATTTCCTACTTTTTTCTTATATTGAGACATCCATGCCATAGTTTTGTGTATGTGCTACAATCATATACACTTTTTTCATACCTATATTTTCCTGTGGAATATTCTGGATATTTTAGTGTGCGGACTTGCATGTGTGCATTGTGAGACATTATGGGATTAGGCACCTTCTATATGCCCACAAGTTTACAACAAAACATGTTTTAATGTAATCAGCTCTACAGATGTTTCAACTGAGCTGTCATCCAAATATATTTCATCTGGCATAATATAGCACTTAATTATATTATACAGCTTATATTGTATGATGAATCGGGCCTATTATCACCTCTGTCAAAGCAGCAGCAGTAGAACCACTTGGTGAAACATCATAGGTAAGTAAAAACACAATTTAAATAAATCATCTGTGAATATGTCTGGTTAGCACAGTGTGTAAATTAATACATTTTTATTATAATGAGTAATTTATCATGACGGAAGTTAATTTAAACCACATTTGAGTGACGGGTGGAATTTATAGAACAGAGACCCGTGTAATACATTTCACAGAAACTTTAAACAATACCCTATTTAATACATGCACATGCAGTTCTACAACTGTTTTCTACTGAATATACCAATGAGTTTCTCATCTTAGACAAAAAAAAGGATGCAAGTCAGCAGCAGGAAAATGTTTGATTTTGTAGGAAATGGCATGCTTGACTTAACGCAATGTTTCAGCCTTGCTACATATTTTAGCTTAGCTGGTCATCTCTCATAAGAAAGCAAAGGAAAGATGAAATTGTACACTTTCCTGTTAGTTACAGTAGATATTTGTGCCAGCAACAATTGCTTTTTCTGCACTATTTTCTCTCTTGTTGGTTGATGATTGTCTGCCATCTAAAGGATTTAAAAGGTAAAGCATGCTGTTTTTGAAATTAAAATGATATACAACATGAATTTATATTTGATCGTGTTTGAAGGCAGGGGAGGGCTGTCAGCCTCTGGCCTGGGGGGCAAATCCAGTCAAGTGGCCCATTGCACCACCGAATCAGCTCACCATCCATGCCCACCTTTTCCTGGTTTTATAATGGATATTGATGTTATGCTAATCAATAGCTCTTTCGTGGCTCCGACTTTCAATGTTGTCAGAGCGCAGGCTGAGAATCTCTGAGCCTGTGCTCTGACTCACTAACTGAGTGCTGGAACCACAAGAGAGAGGATATAATCTGACTGCACCTACTGCTGGTGCGCACCAGTGGACCACCAGGGAATAGTTTAAATTAAATATGCTGGTGTCCCCAACTTGCGAGCTGTGTTGGCCGCCTGTGTCATGGTGCCCTGCGTGACCACACAGCTTGCACAGCCCTAAGGCTGGTCCTGCTGACAGACCCACTGGCACTCACTCTCAATAACACACACACACAAACCCTGACAGACACACACTCACTGACAGGCAGACACACACACTGAAAGGCAGACACACATTCATTGACAGACAACCACTTACTTGACAGACACACTCGCTGACACACAAACACTGACAGATACACACTCAATGACACACTTATTAATAAACACATACATGTATACACACACTTACTGACAGACACACACACACTTACTGACACACACACACTTACTGACAGACACACACTCACTGACAGACACCAGTGCCATCTTAACAACATTATGGACCCCCAGGCAAAGCAGTGCACTGCCTACACAACTCACAGGAATAAAAACGTAAATTATAGATACAATTAAGCTTATATTTATTAATTCCTCCAACAAATGCAATACATACACACAAAACATACACACAGACTGCTGAATACAAGCATACAGACTGCTAGTACCTCCAACAAATGCAATACATACACACAATACACACACACAAATTGCTGAGTACACATAGAGAGTGTTGAATACATACACACAGTCCACTGAATACAAACACACACAAACACACACACAAACAGACTGCTGAATACACACACAGACTGCTGAATACATACAGACTGCTAAATGAACACAGAGTTTGAGGGGTGCAAATAGGAAATGTTTTTTTTAATACTATACATTAAATAAAATATCTATGTCCCCCCCCCACCCTTCTTCTTACCTTTGGTGAACGAGAGGGAAAGGGACACAGCCTGCCCTGGTGGTCCAGTTGTGAGTTCTGTACAGATGAGCTGCAGGCTTTTTCCTGTCCTCCTGCGCGCAGAATGCTGTGTGGAGCATACAGGTCACCTTACAGGTCAGCCTCTCCTGCAGCACTGGGTCCTAGCTCCCGATCTCCCTGATCGAAAGGAGATCACTCGCCCAAGGGGGCCCACGGCCAGAAAACTGAGGCACCTCTCCATTGGCCGACAGGGGAGATCAAAGGATCTCCTATGTTGGTGGGGCATGCTGGGCAGTTGACACACACTTATTGACAGACACACACTTATTGACAGACACACACACACAAACCCTGACAGAAACACACTGACTGACAGGCAGACACACATTCACTGACAGACAACCACCTACTTGACAGATGCACTCGCTGACACACACACACACTCACACACTGGCAGACACACAAACACTGACAGATACACACTCAATGACACTCTTATTAATAGACACATACACTTACACACACACACACTTACTGACAGGCACCACACACTTACTGACACAAAAAACACTCGCTTTCATGATCTTCCTGCTCCTCTCTGCTCCCTCGCACTTTTTAGTGATGCAGGGCCAGAAAGATGTCATATTCTGGCTCCCGGCATCACCAGAGAGGACGCGCAAAGGAGAAGGAAGATCATCAGCACAGTCTGCGCTCCTTCGCCACCGCCTGCCTCCTTCCTCACCCAGCTGATATATTGCTGTAGACAAGTAGATGCCTACTCTGCCTTGATATGAGGGCTCCCCCCCAATCTCCTGGCACCTAGGCACCCAGGATCGGCCCTGCAGCGGCCATTTTTTAAATTAATTAGGGTGGCCTGGAGGGCAATTGCCTCCCTGCCCCCCGGCCCAGCACGCCCCTGTTTGAAGGTAAGGATATAGGATGTCAACATTGCTAATGCTAATCATTAGCTCTTTATTTATAACAAAAAAAAATCTGTTAATTTCATAATCACCATAAAATCATTGCGTGATATGATAACCAATTTGACAAAATTTTACATGCAGCCCGATTTGTAAGAGCAAAGCTAAATCATTTTATTTATCACCAAACTGTGCAATGTTTTCAGCAGTAATCAACAGTAATATCACTAATCAATATGATTAATAATATTAATATTTCATTGAACCCATTGTATTATGTAGACAATTTATAGAAATCTAAGTATGTCAGACCTCTGAAAGGACAGCTGGGAAATCACTAACCTGCAATGTGATGCAAGTTTTGTTGAGACCTTTCACTCTACACTTGCCAGAAGAACTAGTGCAGGGG